TTTTTATTTAATTTATTCTTTTGGTGTATTCATGTATAGTGGTTAACCAAAGGTGTTGTCGCTACTCTACTTGTGGAGGAGAAAGAAGAAGAGGAGAAGGGAAGGAAGAGAAAGAGAGAACAAGAGGAAGGGGGAGGAAGGGGAAGGAAGAGGAGGAGGAGGAGGAGGCCATTTACCCGTGCATTGTCTGTCCAAATAAAATTATTCGAATTCATAATATCCCAATTTCACGTTTCAGTAATCCCGCACTTCAAAACAAACACACACACACACACACACACACACACACACACACACACACATACACACACACACATACACACACGCATACACACACACACACACACTCACACACACACACACACACACACACACACTCACACACACTCACACACAGTGCTACATAATCATAGTTCAATACCCTCTATGATTTTGACTAATCCTGTAAAAAAAAATATATCATATAATTTGTACCTGTAATCCGTGAACGTTAATTACTCCATTGCCTTTCACTATGCATTATTAATAAGTCGACTAATCATTAATATGTAATGACGTTCGTAAAACATTGAGGTAAATTACATAGTCAATTATTTGGTAATGGTGATATAGTTGGCCGTAGTTATGGTTTAATTGTAACCACTTTAGGGAGAGAGAGAGAGAGAGAGAGAGAGAGAGAGAGAGGAGAGTTTACTACAATAAAAACAGACACCAACAACAGACAGACACAACAGACACCAACAGTTAACAACAGACAGACACAACAGACACCAACAGTTAACAACAGACAGACACAACAGGGACCAACAGTTAACAACAGACAGACACAACAGGGACCAACAGTTAACAACAGGGACCAACAGTTAACAACAGACAGACACAACAGGGACCAACAGTTAACCTGGCACATCCCCAGACGGGTAAAAGACAGACCGGTCACAACTCACTGGCGGGGCAGTCCGGGGTCGAGCCTTCAGTAATTACAGCGATATTGTAACAGGCAGTGAGGCGAGAAATGCTCTTGTTCCCAGCAGTTTGTCGGACACTGGTACCAGACTCAGATCACATGAAGATTAGCTCCCCCACCTTAGATTATTTTATCTTAAGATTTAATACCCTAACGGCATCTAGGGGGGGGGTCTGGTTTGGTTAAGTTAGGTTAGGTTAGGTTAGGTTAGGTTAGGTTAGGTTAGGTTAGGTTAGGTTAGGTTAAGTTAGGTTAGGTTAGCTGTACAAGGTTAGGTTAGGTTTGAGTTAGCTTTAGGGTGGTTAATCTTAAGGTGAAATATGCCTGAGTGGTGGTGGAGGGGGGACTATGAAATGAGAGATTCAGTTATAAAAACCCCGGTACTGTAATTACATCTGCATAATAGTTCAATTGAGAAGAATGTAAAGGGACTCGGGGGGAGGTTGGGTGACGTGTAGGGATTTCATGGATGGATGAGATTATACAGAAAGAAGTTAGTAAATACCCTGATGTGTTTAGACCACTTAACATTTGAGTGTGTGGAGATGACTAGGATTATAGGACACATTATATCACTATAAACTTGGTTGTTTTTTTAGTGTTAATATTTTTTCAGTAATTAGTGTTTGAGTTGTGTTTTATTCTCCTGTTTATTGTGTAATTTGATGAAGTGGGGAAAGGTTAGGTTATTTGTTTGGGTGATATAGGATAGTGTTTCAGCTTGTGCTAGAAATATTAGTGTGTGGTTTAATTGTTTGAAAGTCGTATGGTGGTAGGTTAGGTTTTAACTCTTGTAGTTTAGTGGTGGTTTGTAAAATTAACTAAAATCGTAATATATGATGGTAAACCAATACACGTTTGAACCCAGTATATCACCAGAAACACACGAGGCCAACACTCACAGTATAGTAATGCCGCGTTATATCACCAGCTCTTAATACTCTGGGTTCATCCTTTACCACACACCAGCTTTAATGTTACACTAACACCACCTCAACGGGTCAAAACGCTTCCTTATACAGTAAACATTACGTTAGTTCCTATGATTAAACACATCAAAGTATAACTACTGTATCAGTAAAGTCAAACATCACGCTATGCTCTCATCATTCACGTAGAGACACAGTGAGCCGTCACCTGTGATACAAGGCTGCAGGCAACGCATGCAGGCAGGCAGCGTGAGATAGCCATGTGTCTCTAATACCCTTTAGCCATCCTGGCTTTGCTCGCCCAGAGGAAGTCACTGGGCCGAACGAAGCCGGGCTTTGACAGCCTGATACGGACCCTATGTCTCTCCTGGGCCCCAATTACTGCCGGGTACTGATCCGGAAAATAACAACGAAGATGAGGAGGGCGGCGGCAAGCTTCCAGGAGATAAGGTCTTCGTTAAAATGTCAAAAAAAGGAAAACGGATGACAGAGGCGGCGGAGGTGGAATCGGTGAGTCGTAGTGTAGCTGGTATCACGGACCATCAGCCTTCCTCGTGAAGATGATGGATGGGGTAACACGCTACCACTCAAACATTTTGTCCGGTTAAAAATTTGTTGTTTAACTTTACGGGAAAACTTACAACTGTATTTGAAACGATCATCAAAAGGGTGACACGACGAAACGCAGAGAAAAATATGAAAGATAAAGCAATAAAAGAAACAAAAATACCGATAAAAGACGTCAAGAGGAGAGCCAAGAGGACACGACTTCTCATAGAAAACGTATAGAAGAGAAATTGTTGTGGAGGCGCCGGAGCAGGAAAACATCAAGGACAGAAAACTCACCAAAGTACCTTCAACTCCGTCATCTTGTTATGCCAGCTGGTAATGTAATTTTCAGCGCACAACACCAAAAGTGACTATTGGCCTGAGGCAGCAGAGGGGCCGCGTCTCGGAGGAAGGGACGGAGGAGAGCAAAGGAAATAATATAGATATATATACAGTACGTTACTACCAGGACAATTTTACCTCATCTGCGTCTTTAGTAAATGGCGTCTACCCCGGGACCTCTTTAGTGAGATAAGACGTGGAGGACACACGGCTTATGGTTATGAGCGTGAGGGAAATATGATGACGACGGGGGACCTTATATACGACCATCAAGAAGATCAAGAAAAAGCCTAATGAAGTGGTAATAATCCTTAAAGAAACATAGTAAAATTTTATTCGCCAGAAATGTTCAGTGAGGGTTAATTAACCTTCTTCAGACTTGGTATCAGCCAGATGTGTGACGGAGGAAATATATCACGGCCACAATAATGTATCACAAAGGAAAAAGATCATCATTGATATGTGGGAGCTCTTCAAGGGGTTAATTAACCTGACAGATGAGTACAGATGCCCTGGGACGTGACAGGTGAACCGCCGCAGAGGGAGAATATTGGCAACACTGTCACCACCCAGTTTATGGGACTTGTATAATAAAGGATGAATGATAATATCGGGAATGTAAACAGTAGAGGATATTTGAAATTAATTAAGACTGGAATTCAAGCGATATATAATTACTAAAGATCTAGGCGGCAATTCTCTCGTCAATTAAAAGTGTAACAGATGGCTAACGTACGTGTGTGTGTGTGTGTGTGTGTGTGTGTGTGTACAGTAAAAGTTATATAACAAACATGGTGAAGCATATGTGACGGGCTACACTCAGACATACTCGTCAGCGTCTTAACGTCATCTCACCCAACGAGTCTCATGTGGTGGCTTCTTCAGGTTGGTGGAGTGCTGGCGGGCGGGAGTGGACAGCAGAGTGCCTCGTTGACCGTGGCACTAACGAGCTAACGAAGGTCTGGAGGAGGCCTTCATTACGACCTGCTAATGACCTCACCAGCGCCGGGTATGTAACGACCATGGTGGGGGTAAGGAGGGAGGGTAATGGGAGAGAAAGAAGGGTGAGGGGGGTTAAGGGGGAGGGTAATGGGAGAGAAAGAAGGGTGAGGGGGTTAAGGGGAGGAGTGATGGGAGAGAAAGAAAGGGGAGGGGCTGGATGGAAGGTAAGATGAGAGGGGGAAGGACCACTTGAGGCAGAAAAGATGGGCGTTAAGGGTGGTGATGGGCGTGAGGATGGCGTCCACGAGAGAGAGAGAGAGAGAGAGAGAGAGAGAGAGAGAGAGAGAGAGGAGAGAGAGAGAGAGAGAGAGAGAGAGAGAGAGAGAGAGACTGACCCCATCACACTGTCTGTCTGGAAGATATTATATATACAGTTCAGTGTCTCAGTGAGGGATGTGTCTGTATGTCTATCAGGAGGAATAATAATACAGCGTTGAGAGAGAGAGAGAGAGAGAGAGAGAGAGAGAGAGAGAGAGAGAGAGAGAGAGAGAGAGAGTCTTCCTGCTTCATCCACCAGTAACATGACAATTAAACCGCTTGACAAATAAGTTCATCAGCCCCCTCCATAAAAAGAAGAAAAAAATCGACAACTACCCGCTTCCTGTCCCATGTTTTCAGTGCGCGTGGCGAAGTCCGGAGAAGCGAGAATGGAAGTGGACACGCATAGTATACACACGCACGCACGCACGCACGCACGCACACACACACACACACACACACACACACACACTAGTGGCGCCAATGGACGTCAGGGTTCCATGCAATTAATGTTTCACTTGTTGGAGGCTGATCAGGACAGGGGTCACTCGTGTTAAAGTCGTGTCTGGTCGTGACGTGCTGTGTCCTGTCGGGTCGTCGTTCAGTCACCATTAGGTCCGACAGCAGTTTTGCATATACGAGGGAGGTTGGGGTGTTTCTGTGTCGTCGTGTTTAATTTTACTGAGGATGTGAGAGTTTAGGCAGCTCGGTTATAGTCAACAGTCTCTCCCGGCCTGACTGATGGATGTGGTTATATTTCTCGTGAGTGAGGAGTTTGTCTTTATCACGAGCGGCATAAAGTATCTCGTGAACTGCTCTTGGTGTTTGTTTTATAATGAATTCATCTTATTAGTTTTTGTCTGAATGTGTTTGTCTACTATTGCCTTGTGTGTGTTTGTGTGTGTGTTAGATATCCACACACCCACACACACGCACACACAAAAGCCCAACTGTCAACACATCTCCAGTTTCACAATTTCTTGAAAAATGGTTTGGCTGCAGTAACAACCTGTCTCATTAGCATACACACAACACAGTGACAGAAGCATTTCCTGCATCACATTAATTATCATGAGGGGAATAGGAGTAAGGTGGCACTGTTGAGAGTAAGGTGGCACTGTTGAGAGTAAGGTGGCACTGTTGAGAGTAAGGTGGCACTGTTGAGAGTAAGGTGGCACTGTTGACAGTAAGGTGGCACTGTTGAGAGTTAAGGTGGCACTGTTGACAGTGGGTGGACTGTTGAGAGTAAGGTGGCACTGTTGAGAGTAAGGTGGCACTGTTGAGAGTAAGGTGGCACTGTTGAGAGTAAGGTGGCACTGTTGAGAGTAACGTGGCACTGTTGACAGTAAGGTGGCACTGTTGACAGTAAGGTGGCACTGTTGACAGTAAGGTGGCACTGTTGAGAGTAAGGTGGCACTGTTGAGAGTAAGGTGGCACTATTAAATATATATATTAGTTTTAAGGTGGATGGCACAGTTTGTGTTAGATTTACACTCTACACACAAAGATACATCTATACTGATATTATAGTATACACCAGTAGTATAATAAGACCGCTTTCTTGATGTGTGACCTGTGGTGTATACTCAAACATACATCTGTGTACCTAAACATATATAATTTATAGCATTAAGTATATATTTGTATCGAGTACGTTGGCACCGTCTCATTAACGCTGTAATGGCACTCCAGGGCATCCCAACTGACGTCACACACACACACACACACACACACACACACACACACACACTACAATCCAACACCTACGCGGTGACAAAATAACCTCAGGTGTATCTCATTAGTGGCAAGGTTACCTGCCTCTGAAATTGCTTTATAATCGTCTCTTATTTTGAAATGTAAGAAATTTTCCTCGACGCACTCAGCCAGGAAGAGACTTAAGTTCTAATTATAAATGTTATGTTATTAGGACAGGTGATAAGGGAACTGAATTTGGTTCATTATATAATGTGGTCAGGTAGTACAGTTCAACGTTGATATTATACCGGTGAAAATAACTCACGCCCTGATGTAGCCTTTGTTTAACATTGTGGCGTCGCTGTCATACATTGTAGCGTTTGTTATCGTTTGGGTGATGTTGGGGACGGCTGTTTTCTTGATGTTTTGGATGTTGTTGAGAGAGAGAGAGAGAGAGAGAGAGAGAGAGATTAGTTTAGTTACAAAAATGAAAGAATAGATAAAGACACAGACAAATGGACGTACAGATAGACGAGGCAGAGATAAAGGAACACCAGACATATTTGAGACATTTCGGAGAGAGGAGAGAGGAGGAAAGAAGGAAGATAATCAGCGGAACATGGAGAGACCCTCGAGATTATCTCTTCCGGACGGCGCTCCACCTTCCCTGTGGCTTTTACCAGGTCACTAAATTGTTGGTCTCGGCCATAAAAAGCCATAAAAGTGCAATCAGGCACACGTGGACCGACAGGTAATTCCACTTTTTGACCCACTGTTTAGCCGACCCCCGCGCGATACCACTCCGAGATTGGGAGCGTTTAAAGGTTGGTTACGAGGCCGTCTGTGTGTCTGTCTCGGTAACCTTCCCCTCCTCCCCCTTCCCTCCGCCCTTCTCCTACCACCCCCCTTCAGGTAGCTGTTGGCTGAATCAGTGGGCGGGAGCCGTAGGTAAGTTGCTAAAGATAAAAGGAAGAGTTTGAGCGACTTTTACTGCTGGGTTCGCACTGATAAATACGCTATTAAATTGTGACGGTATAAATACATTCTCAGAGACGGTCACGTGCTTGGATCTGACGGACGGACGGACGTGTGTGTGTGTGTGTGTTCCAGTGAGCTTACCAACATAACAACGCTCTCATGTGCTATATATAGGTGGATCTGATGCAGGGCTTCTTGGTTTACTAGACAAGAGACACTAAGATGTTTTATTTTAGAACCAACAGGTAGATATTTAGTATAACTTGACGTATATGTGGGTGGGTGTGGTGCTGTGAGCTTACGACACACTTCCATCCTGAGGTGGGGTTTTTTTTTCCTAGGGACGATAAGAGAGGTTAGATATCAAGGAACTGTGACACGTGTAGTTTATTGTTATATCTTGATGCGCGATGTTGTGAGTTTACGACACACCACCATCCTGATGTGTTGTTCTAGAGGCTGGTATTAGGGTGATCCTTCAGTTGGTTGATGCTCGTGAAGGGATTATTTCAATAAGATTTTCGGGTTCAGTTTCGGATTCGGGTTCGGGTTCAGTTTTGGGTTCAGGTTCAGTTTCATGTTCGGGTTCGGGTTCCTGAGGTCTTTGGACAGATGTGTTGTTGTAGAGACAGAGGAAGGGGGGTTTACAGATGGTAAGATGTGTATGGGAGTTTATCTTTTATGTATGTATGTATGTACAGTATGTATGTATGTATGTATGTATGTATGTATGTATGTATGTATGTATGTATGTATGTATGTATGTACAGTATGTTAATTCAGAAGCTGCATGTCAGTGTACTGTATTCGGAAGCTTTAACCATACTCTGGTATCGCGGTAGTCAGGTGACAGCAGAGCGAAATATATTCATGATGTTGGAGGCGATGATGAGACGAGACAACGGAGAGAGAGAGAGAGAGAGAGAGAGAGAGAGAGAGAGAGAGAGAGAGAGAGAGAGAGAGAGAGAGAGAGAGAGAGAGAGAGAGAGAGAGAGAGAGAGAGAGAGAGAGAGCTTGAGATTACAAATTGGTGATAGACATACAAACATTTATTAAAACAGATAATACAAGACATAGAGAGTCACTCCAAACACACACACACACACACACCAGCTCTATTGTAACACTACACTGGTAAAATTCATTGCTCCTGCTGCCCAACACCAGCTGTGTATGTGTGTGTTTGCTTGTTTGAGTGTTCGATTTTGTCTTTGCGTGTGTTTTATGAGTTTTTTTTTTATGTATTTATGAGTGTTTGTGTGTACTGTATGTGCTACGATGCACATACTGTACATTTGTGTGTGAGTGTATTTGTGCATTGATGGACTGTGTGTACTGTGTGTGTGTGTGGCTAACGTCATTACCACTGCAGCACTGTATGGCCACCTGCCTCCTGCCAGCTGTGTGTTGGGGAGGAACGTTTACCTCGCTCGCTTATTGTCTCCTTGAGTGTCTATTCACCTTTATTTATTTGGATCACCTGAAGATTAATGGCCCCAGTTTGTTTCACCTGATTAAAACCCTAACCTAACCTAACCTAACCTACCTTACCTTACCTTACCTTACCTTACCTTACCTTACCTTACCTTACCTAACCCAGCCTACCCTTACCTTACGTTACCTGAACCTTACTTTACCTTACTCCTTTCTTCCCTACAATATTTTCTTGTTCCTTTCTTCCCTCTTTCCTTTCCCCCTTCCTCCTTTTCCCTCCTTACTCCTTTTCCCTCCTTCCATCCCTATTCCCTTCCGTTCTTCTCCCTCCTCTCTTCTCATTCTCCCTTTAGGTAGGTGTCGTGGCCTCGTGTCCCTCCCACCGCCGGCCCTTGACAACCTATCAGTAACACCGCTGTTACCACTCACCCTACTCATTATCTTCCTTCCTTCCTTCCTTCCTTACTTCCTTCCTTCTTCCTTACTTCCTTCTTCCTTACTACCTTCTTACCTTCCTCCCACACTCTATACCCCATTCCCTCTCTCCCACACATCACACCTCCTTCCCTACCTCACTCCTTCCCTCCTGCATCGCACTCTTCCCTTCCCTACCTTGACCTTCCCTCTCCCTTCCCTCTCCCTTCCTCTCCACACCTCACTGACCCCTCCCCTGTCTTAATCTTCCCCCCTCCCTCCCTCCCTCCACACTCACCCCCCACCTGACACGACCACACCCGAAGGAGGCTCCTAACTTTTGAAAAAAAAAAGTAAACAAAGTTAAAGTAAGTTGTTGTTGTTGTGGTGGTGGTGGTGGTGTTGTGGTGGTGGTGTCAATATGAATAAATGTGACGTAAATTTAAAATGTAAATATCTTAAAATAAAATGAAAAACATGTAAATAATTTTGTATAGTGTAAGTGTTGACATTGTAAAAATAGTTTTGAAAAATACGAATGAAAAAAATAAAGGTACTGTAAAAGAAGAAAAAAAAATCCGAAATCAATTTAGATAATAAAATGTGAAGAAATAAGTTATAAAAGATGTAAAAAAGTTGTAAAAGAGTGAGGTTCTTACATGTTTAGGTTTGCGGGGAGGACACAAAGCTGTTCTCTCGGCCCGATTATCTTTTGATTCATCTTTATTCGCCTTTATTACCCATCTCACCCTAAAGGTGGTAAAGGGATACTGTTATTTGTGTGTGTGTGTGTGTGTGTGTGTGTGTGTGTGTGTGTGTGTGTGTGAAGTGCTCTTACACACACACTTCTGTATCATTCCTGACGGTTCCTCAAGCTCGGATCCTTCAGCTGCCTTTACTGTACATTATGGCCGACATGGTTCCGTGTCCTGAGGAGTCCCCGGTGTTAGGTGGCCAGGGGGCAGAGGACGTGGCCTATGTAGGGTTTTTTCGTCAAATGTTTATAGTTGTAAATAGGATTTTTTTTTCTTTAAGTTCGTATTGTAATATTTTGTTTTTGTATTAATGATAATTTGTCCCTTCATGATGTTTCAGTGATTTACTGAGTGTGTCTCTCTTACCCTGATTTCACCCTTTCATTTCCTTCCTTCACTCCCCTTCACCCATCTCTCCCTGTACATCAGCCGTATATTCCTCCCCTCTCCGCCCCTACTGAGTGGCCCAGGAGGGGCGGAGGGCCGCCAGTTGAGTGGCCAGCTTGGCTGAGTTGCCACGGCTCGATATTTCTATTTAGTCAACAATGTGGAAGGTATTTTAGGAGATTGTATCACGCACAGCAGACTAAATGATCCTTACGGAGGCCTAGCAGGGTGTCCATGGGGGGGGGGGGGGGCGTACAGTAGAGTCGGGGTAGTCTCTCTATTGTCTTGGCACCGTCCTGTTGTTCAGTTTAATACACTGATACAGTCCTCCGAGCTAAAATCTACCCTGACACTGTAGGTCACTTATGCTGCAGTGTGGCCAATAAAAGGTATCCCTAAGTCTTATTAAGGACAGGTCTGAGCACCGCCTCTCAGCGCACATATTGAGTTGGCAACGATACTCCGGACAGGTGCAACGCGCTATTATACGGTTCATAACAGTCTAGCATGATTTACATATATATACCCTGTTTCAGTGTCACCTCCTGTTTATGTCAACATTGATGGTGCTCCCTCGTCTGCTGTGGCTTATAACTTTGCTTTGTTTTCTTCATTTACTCGAGTGTTAAAGACTTTACGATAATTTTCCTTCGGTTGCGTCTCCGTGTGCAGTAGGTAACTTAAGTTGTCTTGGTATGTGCTGGCCAATTTCAACAACCCTCCACTCCCCGGC